GCAGCCGCCCCTGGAGCAGCCGCCACTGCAGCAGCAGCCCCTGGAGCCGCCAGCAACTGCAGCAGCCGCCCCTGGAGCAGCCGCCCCTGGAGTCGCCCGCCACAGCAGCAGCCGCCCCTGGAGCCGCCCGCCACTGCAGCAGCCGCCCCTGGAGCCGCCCGCCACTGCAGCGGCCGCCCCTGGAGTCGCCCGCCACTGCAGCAGCCGCCCCTGGAGTCGCCCGCCACAGCAGCAGCCGCCACTGGAGCCGCCCGCCACTGCAGCAGCCAACCCTGCAGCTGCATGCGACGCCGCTCCTGGTCCCGGTGCAGCCGCCTCCTTTTCCTGTCACCCGCAGTCTTGTTCCTCTCGTGCTGTATGTGTCGCTTCTAGCCCGCTCCGTGTTCGTTCGTCTTGCTCGTGTATTTGTTTGTTTTGCCTGTGTTCGTTTGTTCTACCTACCTACCTACCTACCTGCGCCCTCGTGCCTTGTGCCTTGTGCCTTGTGCTTCGTGCCTCGTGCTTCGTGCCTCGTGCCTCGTGCCTCGTGCATCGTGCGCCCTGCTCCGCGCTGTTGCTCTGCACGCGCGGTTGCCCGCGCCCTCGTGCGCTCTACCCTACCTGCTCCGCGCTGTTGCTCTGCACGCGCGGTTGCCCGCGCCCTCGTGCGCTCTACCCTACCTGCTCCGCGCTGTTGCTCTGCACGCGCGGTTGCCCGCGCCCTCGTGCGCTCTACCCTACCTGCTCCGCGCTGTTGCTCTGCACGCGCGGTTGCCCGCGCCCTCGTGCGCTCTACCCTACCTGCTCCGCGCTGTTGCTCTGCACGCGCGGTTGCCTGCGCCCTCGTGCGCTCTCCCGCCCCGGCCCTCCCCCCCCCCCCCCCCCCCCCCCCCCCCCCCCTGCGTCCCCTGGACAGGAGGGTGTGGGGGTGGCGGGTGTGGGGGTGCTCCGTGTGCGTCGCCCCTTCCTTCTCCTCCGTCTCCCACTGCTGCAGCTGCCGCTGCGGGGGTGGATGTGTGGGAGACGAGGGAGTGGCGCTAGGGGGGTGATGTGGGCGAGGAGCGAGTGGTGACCCTGGGGGTGTGTGTAGGGGGGAGTGAGACAGTTGGAGGAGGTTGCAGCCTGGTGCTCCTGGTGCCCGTGTGTCTGCAACTTCAGTCGTCGCCTCCTCTCTTCTCTCCCTCCACAGTTCCTCCTCCTCCTCACTGGCCTCCTGTGACTGCCACTAGCTTTGCTGATAATTGTGAACTATTGCTGTGACTTCTCACGTGTGCTGATTACACCCCAGCTATGGGGGTGTGTCAGATTATGTTATTTGTCTAGCCTGCAGTGGGGTGCTCATTAGTGAGTACAACCCCTTAGGGTTTCCTATATGTATCCTGCTGCTTGCTAGTTCACATCATCATTCCCATTCTCACTTCTCCAATTCTCCTTCGTATACCACAAACCCTAGTCCTAGGGCACATCCTACTACCTCTTAGTGTGGGCCTAGGCTACTAAGCCTAGGCCCCACTCCTAGTATTCCTGACAGGACTGGACCCCCAGAGGGGTCGGCCAGGGAGACTGCAACCGGCCGACGAAGCGGCGTAAGTGTGGTGCAGTCGCGAAAGAAGGAGCGGGAAGCTCCTGAGTCAAGGGTGAAGGTGTGCAGGGTCGCAGCAGGCGAAGAACCTGAGAGGGCAGACTCACAAGGACCGGGAGCAGCAGCCTCACCAGCACCTAGAGCTGGAGACGCAGTAGCACCTAGAGCAGCAGCCTCACCAGCACCTAGAGCAGGAGACGCAGTAGCACCTAGAGCAGCAGCCTCACCAGTACCTAGAGCAGCAGGCGCGATACCTGGGTCAGGCGGCGCACACAGGTAACAGGCACGGTCAGCACTAGTAGGCAATGCATACATGGCAGTGAGAATAGCATCATAGTTAAGAGCAAAGATATCTACTCTCTGCCTAAGTAGCTCCACCCAGTCGGGGAGCTCAGCCCCGTCGCCAAACTCGGTGCGCCAGGCGTCGCTCAGACGGGCGAAGCAGCGGGATTGCGTGTGACTAGGTGTCCCGCAAGGCTGACCAGTCCGAGCACCAGTGCGAATGACGTAAGAGCAGCGAACAGAACTGAGAGACCCTCTACTCTGAGCGTACCACTCACGAAGCTGCTGGGGCGTGCGAGACTCGCGTGGACGACAGTGTAGCTGCATCTGGCCACCGCCAGTAGCAGCAGCAGCAGCAGTGGCAGCAGTAGCAGCGCGGCCACCCCTACAACCCCAACTAGCGGACCACTCACGCAGCTGCTGGGGCGTGAGGGACTCACGCGGACGTCGCTGGGGCTGCATCTGGCGTCGGCCAGTAGCAGCAGGTCAGGCAGGCAGGCAGGCCGGCGGCGCGGCAGCGCGCTAGCAAGGCAGGGGCTCACCAGTAGCAGGAAGAGCAGGCTCTCACCGGGCGAGCAGGGCCGGTGCTCGGCGGACGGCGGCAGGGTCAGCGTACGACGGCGGCGACAGCAGGGCCGTGGCAGCGGCTACAGTGAAGGGCCGGATCGAGTCAGCGGCAGGGCAGGGCCGGGTCGTGGCAGCGGCAGGGCAGGGCCGGGTCGTGGCAGCGGCAGGGTGGCGCGAGCCGCTGCTGGGGGCCGTGCACTGGCAAGTAGGGCGCGGCGCGGGCCGCGCGGACGGCGCGCAGCGCGCTGCGGGCCGCGGACGCGCCGCGCGGACCTGGGGCGAGTTGCGCGGGGCAGCGGCGGGCCGCGCGCGCGTCGCGCGGGCTCGGGACGGGCTGCGCGGGGCAGCTGCGGGCCGCGCGCGCGTCGAGCGGGCTCGGGACGGGCTGCGCGGCAGGCAGTGCGACGGGCGGGCAGCGCGGCGGGCAGCGCGGCGGGCGGGCAGCGCGGCGTGCAGCGCGACGGGCGGGCAGCGCGGCGAGCGGGCAGCGCAGCGGGCTGCGCGGCGAGCGGGCAGCGCAGCGGGCGGGCAGCGCGGCGTGCAGCGCGACGGGCGGGCAGCGCGGCGAGCGGGCAGCGCAGCGGGCTGCGCGACTGGCGGGCGACGCGGTAGGCAGCGCGACGGTGGGCAGCGCGGCGGGCAGCGCGGCGGGCAGCGCGACGGGCGGGCAGCACGAGCGCACGAGGGCGCTAACTGGGGCGCGTGAAGGCGCTAACGAGGGGCGCGCGAGGGCGCAGCGAGGGCGCGCGAGGGCGCTAACGAGGGCGCGCGAGGGCGCTAACGAGGGCGCAGCTAGGCTAGGGCACGGGGTAGCGTGGTAACCGCATGCGAGCGGTGGTGGGCCCTAAAAAAAAACGGTCGGTAGGTCCTAGGGACCTCCTGCTCTGATACCATGTCAGAATCCCAGCCACTAACCACTGGGATAAAAGAGCTTGTTTGTGTAGCGGGTGAGTGCGCCCATAACCCCCCAGGCCGCCATGCCTGTAACCCTTCCCTAGGATCAATCGGGGATCACCAGTGGACCTCTGACACCCCCCCGCACTGGGATGCCCGAGGTGCACACACCGGGATTCGAACCCAAGACCTTCGCTCTGATACCATGTCAACAAGACTAGGCAAGAATGGTGCATTGAATGAAACAGTTGGGTACAAGTAGCAAACCCTAGTTGGGGTTGTACCCCATATTGGCTACCCCACTACAGCCTACCAACATGTAACACATTACAATTTAACACATCCAATGGCGCAAATCAAAAATGTCAGATATATATGACTTAGTCTTTGTAGGCTCTAGTGGGGTAGACACTAAGGGGTACAGGTTTCTAGTGTCTAACATTATACATGTGTTATTGCTGTGTAGGCTACAGTGGGTTAGCCTTTAGGGGGTACACAATTCTAGGGTTTCATACTTGTACTCCAATGTTCTCATAGTTCAATCGCTTCTTGTTTCTGACATGGTATTAAGAACTTAGGTCCTAGTCCTAGGACCGCTTACCTAAGGGCCCACCGCTAGAAGCGCCCTCGAGCGCCTCTCTCCTAGTGCGCCCTCGTGCGCCTCTCTTCCTCCTGCTGCCCGTGCGCAGCTCGCTAGTGCCGCGCGCGGCCTTTTTTTTTCGCGCGCGTAGCCCGCTAGCGGCCCGCGCGCGGCCTTTTTTTTTTCGCGCGCGTAGCCCGCTAGCGGCCCGCGCGCGGCCTTTTTTCTGAGCGCGCGCCGGCCCCTAACCGCCCGCGCGACCGGCGCCGCCCACGAGCAGCCCCTAGCCGCCCGTCGACCGCCGCCCAGGGTGTCGCAGCCCCGCCCCTAGGCCGCCGCGACGCCCCTCTAGACCGCCGCCCGCGCGCTAGTCAGGCCCACGCACAGCCACGGCCCGCCCGCTACAGCCCCCACGCGCACGCCCCCCGTCGCGCACCGTCGCGTAGCCCAGCCCGAGCCGAGCCGCGCCGCCCGACCCGAGCCGCGCCGCCCTGGCCGAGCCGCGCCGCCCTACTGTGCCCCACCTGCAGCAACTCCTGCCGTACTACTGCTTCACCTGCAACTGTTACTACTACTCATACTGCAACTACTGTTCCTACTACTCCTACTGCCACTATGGCCACTCCCTCTATTCTCACCTTTGACGCTGAGGGCCGCCCGATTAAGTTTGAGGTTTGGTTAGTTGACCTCCACCTGTTCCTCCAGATCACTGACAAGGACGATGTCTCCCTGTATGACCACACGTCAGGCGCCGCTCCCGCACCTCCCCCTACTGCTGACAGTACTGCTCGCTCCCAGTGGCAGACCCGTGATGCTCACGCTCGCCTAGCCGTTCGCAGCCACCTGCCGTTAGATGAGCGCGAGCACTTCGGCCAGCATAAGACCGCTAAAGAACTGTACGACGCAGTAGTTGCGCGCTACTCCTCCCCTGCCACTGCTGCTATAGGCCGTCTCTCACTGCCCTACCTCTTTCCCGACCTGTCCGCCTTTGCCACTGTCGCTGACCTCATCACCCACCTCCGTACTAGTGACCTTCGCTACCGTGCCGCGCTCCCCCCCGATTTCTTCGCCAAGAACCCCCCCCCCCCCCCCCCCCCCCCCCCCCCCCCCCCCCCGATGTACCTCACACTGTACCACCTTGTTACCCCCTCCCTGAATCCCTTCGCACTGTCAGGGACCAGTTTCTCGCCCTCTCCCCCACTGACCTCACTGTCGACCTCCTCGAGAAGGAACTCCTAGCAGCTGAGAAGAGCATTGTAGCTGTAGGTGCCTCTCGTGGTGACCCCCGCACCCCCTTCTTTGAGGGGTGTTCCCCTTCCCCCCTCCTCCCCTCCATTGCATCTGCTGCTGCTGTCGACTACCTCAGAGCTGAGGGAATCGGGGCCGCGTCTACTCCTAGTGGGAGGCGCAAGAGCGGCAGGGGCAAGGGGGGCAGGGGTGGTGGAGGTGGAGGCGGGGGCGGCGGCGGTGGAGGGGGTGGAGGGGGCGGGGGTGGTGGCGGAAGTGGGAGTGGCGTGGGTGGTGGGGGGGTCAGTGGCGGCACAGGGGGTGGTGGCGGCGGCGGCGGTGGTGGGGGTGGTGGGGGCGGTGGTGGCAGTGGTGGTGGCAGTGGAGCGGGTGGTGGGCGCGGTGGAACGGTGCAGCGTGGGGGATTCGGCGGTGGCCAGAGGCAGCAGCAGCAGCGTCCCGGCGAGACTCCCTCGCCCCAGCAGCTCCGTGAGTGGTACTCTCAGTGTGGAGGGTCTGGGGGTGGGGGTACCTGCCCGTACGTCATCCGTACAGGTGACCGCGCTGGCCAGACTTGTGGGAGGTTTCACACGGCGCAGCGCTATTTCTTTTGCCTCGACGACGCCTGGCGCGAGCAGTTCCCTGACGCCTCTGAGCTGCCTCGCTGGGCTGATCTGCTTAGGAAGGGGATTGATGTCTTTGCTCTTGATTATGATGCTATCCTTGCTGCCATGTATGCATTGACTATTAGTGCTGAGGGTGACTGTTACCTGAGTGTGCCGCCCGACCCAGGTATTGGTACTGGTAAGGCTGCTGCGCTAGGTGCTCGTGCGTCTGCGTCTGCTGGTACTGGGTCTACTGCGGCACTGCACCCATTCACACTGGACTCAGGTGCTTCCCGCTGTTTCTTTCGTGACCGCACTGTCCTTGAGCCGCTAGCTCGGCCTGTTGCTGTCTCCCTTGCTGACCCCTCTGGGGGCCCGGTCCTTGCGACCTCCTCAACTATCCTCCCTTGTCCTGCGGCCCCGTCTGGCACTCTGTCGGGTCTCTACCTCCCCTCGTTCTCTACGAACTTGGTGGCGGGCTCTGCTCTCCAGGACGGGGGTGTTCACCAGTTCACCCCTGCCTATGAGCGGGTGACCCACTGTACGTGTGCTCGGACGGGTCGCCACCTGGCTACCTTCACTCGGCAGCCGGGGTCCGACCTGTACACACTGACCACTGAGTCCCCTCAGGTAGCTGCGTCTGCGTCTGCGTCCGGTCAGCTGTCGGCTCCCTGCTCGTGTCGCTCCCTGTCGCACCAGACCGTCCTCTGGCACCACCGCCTTGGTCACCCCTCCGTGCAGCGCCTTCGTGGCATGCACTCCCGGTACCTTGTCTCTGGTCTTCCCAGAGTTCTCCCTCCCCTCCCACCCTCGCCTGCTCCTCCCTGTCTTCCCTGTGTCGAGGGGCGGCAGCGTGCCGCTCCTCACTCCTCCTCGTTCCCTCCCACAGAGGCTCCCCTGCAGACTCTTCACCTGGACGTGTGGGGCCCGGCCCGCGTCCGGGGACAGGGCCACGAGCGGTACTTCCTGCTGGTCGTCGACGACTACACGCGCTACACCACGGTCTTCCCCTTGCGCACCAAGGGTGAGGTCCCTGATGTTTTGATCCCTTGGATCCGCGCTGCTCGTCTCCAGCTCCGCCAGCGGTTCCAGTCGGACTTTCCCGTCCTGCGTCTGCACTCTGACAGGGGTGGTGAGTTTTCCTCCGACCTCCTGGCCGCCTACTGTGCGAAGCACGGCATCCTCCAGACTTTCACTCTTCTGGACTCCCCACAGCAGAATGGGGTTGCTGAGCGCCGCATTGGTTTAGTCATGGAGGTCACTCGTACCTCCATGATCCATGCAGCTGCCCCCCATTTTCTGTGGCCGTTTGCTGTCCGGTACGCTGCGCATCAGCTCAACCTTTGGCCCCGTGTCTCTGCTCCGGAGACCTCGCCCACACTGCGTTGGACGGGGGAGGTTGGTGATGCGTCGGTGTTCCGTGTCTGGGGATGTCGAGCCCTTGTTCGCGATACGTCCGCGGACAAGCTCTCCTCCCGTGCCGTTCCCTGTGTCTTCCTTGGCTTTGTCCCTGACGCGTCTGGCTGGCAGTTTTACCACCCCACCTCGCGCCGTGTCTTCGCCTCTCAGGACGTCACTTTTGACGAGTCGGTACCCTTTTACCGTTTGTTCCCCTACCGCACTGCGCCGCTTCCCCCCCCGCCGCTCTTCCTCACCCCAGGTGTCCCTTCGGTAGACCCCCTTCCTCCCCAGGGTCCTGCTCCCTCAGGTGTTTCCCAGGTAGACCCGGTCGAGCCTGTCGAGGTAGCTGTTGACTCTGGTCCTGCGAGGTGTGCTGCGACTGGAGGTGCTGAGCCTGGGGGTGCTGAGACTGGGAGTGCTGAGCCTGGGGGTGCTGGGTCTGGGGGTGCTGAGCCTGGGGGTACTGAGCCTGGGGGTGCTGAGCCTGGGGGTACTGAGCCTGGGGGTGCTGAGCCTGGGGGTGCTGAGCCTGGGGGTGCTGAGCCTGGGGGTGCTGAGCCTTGGGGTGCTGAGCCTGGAGGTGCTGGCTCTGGTGGAGCTGGAGCTGGAGGTTCTGGAGCTGCTGGAGCTACCACTGGAGCTGGAGGTTCTGGAGCTGCTACGAGTGTTGGCGCTGCGGGTTCTGAGTGTGCAGTTGCGCGGTCTCCTTGGAGTGGCCGCCTTCGTCCGCGTGTGCCTCTCACCTCCCAGCAGCTGCGCGACTGGTACGGTCGCCGTCAGCGTCGCGCTCCTGTGGCTCGGGAATCTGCTCCTGGCGGTGCTTCCACTGACGTCCCTGGAGCTGAGAGTGGTGCTGGTTCGTTGTCTCCTGGAGGTGCCCACGTCGCTGGTCCCGGAGGTGCTCGTACCGCTGGTACTCGAGCTGCTGGGGCTGGTGGTGCTGTGTCTGAGGGTGCTCCCACTGGGGACACTGCGATTGGGGGTGCTGGTTCTGGAGGCGCTGCTGCTGGTGGAGACTATCCTGGAGGTGTTACCGCTGGGGGTGGTGGAGCTACTGGAGGTACAGGACCTGCTGTCGGTACTGGAGCTGCTGGTGCTGGCGGCACTACACAGTCGCGCCTGTTCTTCGCTCCGCCGTCTCCGTCGTCTCTGCCGCCGCCTGACTCTGTCCTTCGCCAGGTTCTTAGTCTTCCGTCTTCTACCGGTCTTCCCCTAATGCCTGGCTCACCGCTTCCTGCTCCTTCTCCTTACACAGCGCAGTCCGGGGTCTTACTGAGCGTCGTGAGCCTGCGTCTCGCCTGTTCGTTCTGGTCGTTCCGTCCGTCGTCCTTCCTCTGTTCCGCAGTCTGTTCCTCTGCCGTCTCCTCCTGCGTCGTCTTTGCCTCACGTTCCGGACCCTGCGTCTGACCGGTTTCGTGCTGAGCACCCTACTGTCACGCGTCTGCTAGCCACTGTTGTCACTGACCCCTCGTTTGAGTCTTCTGCTGCGTCTGCCTTGGTCGCTGAGCTTGTTGACTTTGCTGCTGCCTGTCGTCTAGACTACGCTGCTAGCCTTGTTGCTGAGTCTGAGTCTGTCTGTCCTCCGTCCATCGGGGGTGAGTGTGCTCTTGGCACGGACGTCCTTGAGGACAGGCACGAGGACCTTGAGTGTCTTGCAGCCGCTGCGCCTCATCTCGTGGCCATGCTGCTTGCCCCTGAGGGAGACCCGGATGCTATAGACATCCCTACCCCGCGATCTTACGCTGAGGCGATCGCGGGTCCCTACTCCTCTCAGTGGCAGGCAGCCATGGACGCAGAGATGGCATCCTGGAAGTCCACTGGCACTTACGTCGACGACGTTCCCCCTCCTGGGGCGAACATCGTCAATGGCATGTGGATTTTCAGGGTGAAGCGGCCGCCGGGTTCTCCGCCTGTCTTCAAGGCTCGTTACGTTGCCCGAGGCTTCAGTCAGCGAGAGGGAGTCGACTTCTTCCAGACCTTCTCCCCCACCCCGAAGATGACCACTCTTCGGGTACTGCTGCACGTTGCCGCTCAGCGTGACTACGAGCTTCACTCTCTTGACTTCAGCATAGCTTTCTTGCAGGGCAGCCTCCACGAGGAGATCTGGCTGCGCCGCCCTCCTAGCTTCACTGGGTCGTTTCCTCCTGGTACCCAGTGGAGCCTCCGGCGGCCAGTCTACGGTCTCCGCCAGGCGCCACGTGAGTGGCACGACACACTGAGGACTACACTTGCGGCTCTTGGGTTCGCTCCTTCTACTGCTGACCCGTCGCTGTTTCTGCGCACCGACACTTCGCTGCCGCCGTTCTACATCCTCGTGTACGTCGACGACTTGGTCTTTGCCACTGCTGACACTGAGGCTCTCGCCCACGTGAAGTCCGAACTGCAGAAGAGACACACGTGCACATACCTGGGTGAACTGCGCAGCTACCTTGGCTTGCAGATCACCCGGGACAGAGCACGCCGCACCATCACACTGACTCAGTCACACATGGTGCAGCAGGTCCTTCAGCGCTTCGGCTTCACCTGGTCCTCAGCACAGGCCACTCCTCTGGCTATAGGTCACTCGCTCTCAGCTCTGCCTTTGGATGAGTCCGTAGAGCCGAGTGGTCCTTACCCATAGCTAGTTGGTTGCCTCATGTACCTGATGACTTGCACTCGTCCTGACCTAGCGTACCCTCTTGGCCTTCTGGCCCGCTACGTGGCTCCTGGTAGGCACCGAAAGGTGCACTGGGATGCTGCAAAGAGGGTATTGCGCTACTTGTGCAGTACATCGGGCATGGGGCTCGTGCTTGGAGGAGGGAGCCCAGTTGTTCTCACTGGGCACTCAGACGCTTCTTGGGTTGACGACCAGGCTACTCAGCGGTCGTCACAGGGTTACACCTTCAGTCTTGGCTCTGGCTCAGTTTCTTGGCGTTCTACACGTTCGTCTTCAGTTCTCAGCTCCAGTTGTGAGGCTGAGATCTACGCCACAGCCATGGCTGCTCAGGAGTTACGATGGTTCACCTACCTGCTGACCGACCTGGGAGAGCGGCCTCGTTCTCCTCCAGTGCTGTACGTTGACAACAAGGCTGCCATTGCCTTGTGTGAGGAGCACAGACTGGAGCACAGAACGAAGCACATCGCTCTACGGTACTTTCTGGCTCGAGAGTTGCAGCAGCGTGGTCAGCTTCGTCTGCGTTACGTGGCCACTCAGGCCAACACTGCTGATATATTCACCAAGGCACTTCCGCCTGGTGATCATCAGCGTTTCTGCACTTTGTTAGGGCTTGTGCCCACTTTTCCTCACTTGTTGTAGACTTTGCCTGTACTGTGATCTATATATATATATACCTGCATGCTTGCTAGATATAGATCACTGTGATGCTTGTGTTACATATATGCCTCTGCATGTGAACTGGCCTTGTGGCTCTTTGCTTGACGCTGTGTCAAGCACGACAAGGCTCCAATGTGAGCTGGACCACACGGGTGAGGATATTAGCTCAACGTAGCGAATAAGTCCCTAGACGAATCCAATTCCAACTTGTCATGACAAACACAAACGGCACTCAGGCAACTTACTCCAGGTTGATCGGGATGAATGCCCATTTGAAGGTCAACATGTTAACGCCACCTGTGTAGTTAGTCCAAGGGGCGGATCTTGACTCTCGTTGCATAATGTCGTACAGAAACGTGCTGCAATATAGCCATTCACGACCATCGCCGGCATGCTCGAACTGCAGTATTCTGTCGTGCACGACAGGAGTGGCATACTCATATTCACCGAGTCACGTTACGGAGGGCATGGTATCACCAGTAAGTTCAAGAACGCACAAATGATACTCACATGCCCCACCACTCTATGATGTCGCTGCTAACCCATTTGCCCGGCTGCAGGCAATCAGCTTCACGAGGATTGATTGTCAAATAGCTGCCCCCCAATGGATAAGGCATTGCGTACCGCTTAAATGCCGCCGCTCCCTTCTTGTTTCGCCTTCTCGCCATACTTATTTATCTCTTGGTTGCGACCTTGAGTGTGTAGTACTCCCGTCCAAAGGCTCACGATCTATACGGATGTCGTCGGTGTCACCGCTGCTATCTAGCCGTGACTACAACACCTTCTGTGTGGGTAGGCTGACCAAACCCCTTGACCAAACCACTCTTGGGAGACATTGATGGGACAGTTTGGGGACAGGATGATTCCTATGCATTCGATTACGTTGGCTTACTGAACATTGTAAGGTTCAACATGGATGCGGTAACAAGGGTTACCTTCGTGTAGTTTTTGTATCCGCATGGTAATACCCTGGGTTGTAAGCGGTTACACTGGGTTCGAGCTGGCTCGATATATAGTAAGCCCCCGAGTTGGTTGGAGCAGTCCAAACTTTGCGTGGCTGTGACATGATCAGCCTGCCAATGTAAGCTAGCTTTCGATGTGCACCACAGCCTTACATCCCTCCATGTGGCAAACCCGAGCTGGTAGACGGGCGAATTGTGCGTGGGGATGCGACAGCTGGTCGACGCACCTAGCATATGTCATCCAAAAGGTACAGCAGTACCTCGACGATAGCGCCGTCACCATAACGCAACCCTCGCGGCACGCATCATCTATGGTCTAGCGTGATGCCAGCGGCGTCATATCAACGGGCAAGGGTCAAGCACGAGGTCGATCCTTCAGCCGTGAGGTTATTTGTCGGCGAGAACCTTCAACCACCCACTGATTTCTCTCTAATGTGCTGCGCATGCTCCAAGTAGATGTTCTCTCCAGGTAGTGCTCTTAGACACTCTATTTAGTAAGGTGGGCTTCCAGCGACCCTTCACCATGTGTGCCGCGGTAGCACGGCCGGTGCGTGATAGACGTCTGCCACAGAAGCTTGAAGATTTCGAAGGCATCTAAACTACCGCGAGATCAAGGCAGTCTAATGCTAATTGGGCCCGGGACGTCGAGGCTACAAGGGCATTTGTGAAAGAGTACCGCGTGGATAACCTAACGCCCAAGGGGTATCTGACACTGGAGCAAGCCCCAGACACCGGCGCACCTGCTAACCCGCCTATCTTGCCGTACGGGTTCACCGTTCAGGAGAGGCTTGACCTTCAAGCGCTGCACCGTGGTGGACGACGGAGGGCGTTGTTTCAGCTTGAACCTGCAGTAGGCGTAAGGTAGGAGGCACAGGGTGCAACCGGTGAGAGATGGTTTTTTGTTTTTTTTTTTTTTGGTTTTTTTTTTTCCCTCTTTATGTCCATTTTAATCGAGCTTATTTGCATGCTGGTGCCTCTTTACGGTCCCCGCCTGATGGCTGTTATAGAGTCCCACCCTGCAGTGTGCGACCCAATACCCGTGGCGAGCGGCGGGACAGAGCATGGCGGGCCACGAAGCTGCGAGCTAAACCCTGAGGCGTACGTGAAGTACAACGAACTCCTGCACACGGTGCCGTTGTCAGACTGCACCGAGGGGGAGTCTGTCCAGTGTTCTTCAGAATCGGAGGAGTCATCAAGCAGTAGCGAAAACACAGCGGACGAGGATTGGGTGGCGTCTGGCAGCGAGGCTGGAAATGAGTCTGATGTACCGCATGTGCCCAATTCCAACGCAAACCCACCAGGCACCCAAGGCACTCTCGTAAAGCCAGCGGCACCTGCAAAACGAGTCCGGCGCGCCAAGAAGCCACCCAAAGCTGAGAAGTCCCGAGAGCACAGGCCCGTCGTGCGACAAGTACGCGCTACAGGGAATCGAGAGGACAAGATGCCGCAACAGGGCGGAAGCATCTACTCGCGGAGATTTAAGGTTGACGAGAAGCAGCAGCCGGGGACTGCCGTCGCAGAGCAGGTGGCGTCGGCAGTGAGGGAGCACTCCAAGCTGCCTTCCAAACAAGCTAGACGAGGGTCCGCTAATGAAGACCCGGGTGCTTTATCGAAAGGCGGAGCCGGTCATGCCATCCCTCATATCCCGCATCGCCTCACGCCGGGCCGAGTCGTATGGCGCACGTTTTGAACGCGAGATCACCAGACCATGTTCGCAAGCGTGCAGCAGAGTCCGAGTTGAAGCTATCGGCGCTTGCAACACCGCAACAGAAGGAGCCGTCTGTCGATGCGCGTGGGCAGTGGTCGAGCAATTCGACGGCCCAGTATTGCTCTCCTAGGCGCAATCAAGTGCTCTCTCCAGCTTCTGTGGGGGTTGGTTCAGCTCTGAGGTCCCCGTTAGTCAATCACTCCCCCGCCAACGCAGCTCGTGTGGCGTGCCTTGGTGCTGGACTGCCTGGTATGGTGCCGACACCATTCTTCGACGGTGGCGCGGGGCAGACAGCCGACATGGAGGTGGAGCACGGTGACTCGTCTCCTGAAGACGCCGCAGATGATGGCGGCGAGGCAAATCGTGATTTAGTGGAGCTGCAGAGGCTGTTGACCAAGCTTCGCGAGCGAAGTGGTGGTGATATATCGGGTGTCCTTGCAGCCGCTGGAGGACGTGGGACCGCCGTGCTAGGTACAGATGAGATTGAGGCCTTGGCGAGTCTTGGCAGCGGTGCCCGCCGTCTTAGTGTACGTGGCAAGGCTCCGGTAACAGGGGGACATGGCAGGCCGCACCCATCCGCAAGTAACAGAGCTGGGTCTGCACATACCGCTGATCGTACTCACAAGGCTGATGTTACGCATACACCGCCTTCTTCACCTGCTCCGCTTCCATCACAGCCCGCACCCCAACCCCAGGCAGGTGGCCGAGCGAACGCTGCTGCACCGCGTGCCCACATGAACCGGGGGTTGTACAACAACCGACTCGGGAGGGAGCGTGAGCACAACACCAACACCCACGGTGCTGAACACGCATCCGGTCTTGCGGCCCCAGCACCACGTGTCGGTGGGAGTGACAAGGGGCAGCCACCTTACCGAACACGAGGAGCAGGGTACCGCGACCTTGGCGCAGGGGCCACCATGGGCAACCAGGCCCGTGGTGTTAAGCGGGAGAGGAACGTCCCTCAGATGACTCTGATCATTGACTATGATCCGGAGAGGAGCGGAGAGGGCCTGGTACGTGGCATGCCATCACCAGATGAGATCGTGGTGAGTATGCGCATGTATCACATTCCAACACGCACCCGTTGTTTGAACTCCGCCCCTGTATCCGAATGTGCCCTAAGTGTAGGTGTACCTGCAGCTCCCATTCACAGCATTCGCTTCAAGTTGTCGAGGTCATGACCATGGCTTAACGTCTACGTGTGGCATTGATCTGCTCGTGCTCGCCCTTTTTCCATGCTTCGATCCCGTCCCCAGGTGCACGCAAAGTTGGCGATGGATTTCCTACTCCGCAACTGCTCGGCGCGAGGTGTGACGCTGTTCCCCTCTAACACAGTGAGGAATGAAGCCCTGCGTATCATCCTTCGCGCCACGCATGACGTGAGCTACGTACAGGTCTGTGTCGCCATGTCAAAGACGGAAAACAGCTCCAAGGTGCACAAGGTGTGGACGAAGTTCCGCAACGACTCGTCATCCATGGGACGCTACAAGATCGTGTGCGGGCTGGGGATAGACGTCGTGGGCAAAGGGGTGTACAAGATGAAGCTCGACCCGAAGAAGGAGGAGGAGTGGTGGGAGATCCTTGGCCCACGTGAGTATTGGTGCTTCACCCGTGCTGCTTACGTCTCACCCCCTCCACTCTATGGTGTGTGCCGCTAAACTCCACTTCCCTTTTTTTTATCCCTTGCTCCAGTTGGCAGAGGAGCACGAGGGGCACAAGGTCTCTTCATGGAGCATTGGCAAGGGAGACAAGAGGCCCTTCACCAGCGACCTGTTCTTTGCGGCGTGCAAAGCGGCCTACCCTGAGTGGGTTACGGCGGACGGCATCATTGTGCTCGTCCCGTATCACATTGCATGGGTCCTGTTCTCTGTGAGTGTGCACCGCGCTTATGGCCATGGTGATGTCATGTAGCCAGCTCCAGGTTCGTGGTAGTCAGTCCTAAACGAGCTAATCCGTTTGGTGTATTGTGTGGTGGTGGCAGTTCGACTATGGCATGACGAACCTGAAGAGCAAGTCGTTGACCCTCTCACAGAGCCCTCTGACCAACGAGCGGGAGATGGTGGAAGTGGTGGCTGAAGTAGAAGAAGCCATCAAGATGTGGCTGGTTGTGGCAAAGGGGCGGTTGTACGTTCCCGAGCTAGGGGCGTTCAAGTGGGGAAACGCCGGCCTATTCATTAACGAGTCCGGGTTTCAAGAGTATTTGCCGGAGGAGTATAAGAGGCGATCAACATCGGACTCTGGTGACAAGGAACAGTGGATGGCGTGATCGAAGATGGCTGTATCATGTCAGTCACGGCTCTGGATGGGGCAAAGCAGTGATGTTATGGGAGTGGCAAACCCGAGCTAGTTGGCAGAACGCCCCTTTTTTGTGTGTGTGTGTGTGTTTTTTTTTTCTATGCTTCTGTTTGTTTGAATTTTACCAAAACAGGGACTGCACGTAGATTTCAGGGGGGGTGGGCATGCATGGTAGTTGGGGGTATTATGTGGCCACTCGGGACGTTTCTAAATATAATAGAATTAAATGTGCACTACACGTCTATGTAGGAGACCTTAAACGAGTACAAAAAAAACCCCCATGCGATGGCCACCCTGCGGGTTCACTCATAACATGTCCCCAATGTGTCCCGAATCTGACCCGGCCGAAGTGCTGCTTGCGGGCCACTGATTTGTCTCGAAAGTGTCCCGGAAGACACTTTCGGGACAGTTGAACCAGACACTTTCGGGGCACATTTGAGTTCGTCCCAAAAGTGTCTTTCGGGACCCACCTGTCCCAAAAATGTTCGAGAAGAGTCTTTCGGGACGGTTGTGGAACGTTACATTTTGGAGATGCAGTAGGACGGCAGGAGTTACTGCAGGGGCACAGTAGGGCGGCGCGGCTCGGTTCGGGCGGCGCGGTTCGGTTCGGGCGGCGCGGCGCGGCTCGTGCTGGGCTACGCGACGGTGCGCGACGGGGGGGGGGGGGGGGGGGGGGGGGGGGGGGGGGGGGGGGGGGGGGGGGGGGGGGGGGGGGGGGGGGGGGGGGGCGGCTGTAGCGGGCGGGCCGTGGCTGTGCGCGGGCCTGACTAGCGCGCGAGCGGCGGTCTAGCGGGGCGTCGCGGCGGCCTAGGGGCAGGGCTGCGACACCCTGGGCGGCGGTCGACGGGCGGCTAGGGGCTGCTGGTGGGCGGCGCCGGTCGCGCGGGCGGTTAGGGGCCGGCTCGCGCTTAGGAAAAAGGCCGCGCGCGGGTCGCTAGCGGGTTACGCGCGCGAAAAAAAAGGCCGCGCGCGGCACTAGCGAGTTGCGCGCGGGCAGCAGGAGGAAGAGAGGCGCACGAGGGCGCACTAGGAGAGAGGCGCTCGAGGGCGCTTCTAGCGGTGGGCCCTTAGGTAAGCGGTCCTAGGACTAGGACCTAAGCTCTGATACCATGTTAGAAACAAGAAGTGTTGAACTATGAGAAGATTGGAGTACAAGTATGAAACCCTAGAATTGTGTACCCCCTAAAGGCTAACCCACTGTAGCCTACACAGCAAATAACATATGTGCAATGTTTGACAGAACCCCCCCCCCCCATGTACATCACCCTCTACTACCTAGTCACCCGGCTCCCTGACTCCCTTCGCTCGGTCAGGGATCACTTCCTCTCTCTCTGCCCCACCACACTCACCGTTGACCTCCTCGAGGAGCGCCTCCTTGCAGCTGAGAAGAGATGAAATTTTTTGAAATATATTTCAAATTTTAAAGATTGTGACAAGACTTGTAAAGGAGCATGCAGTAAGGAGTCAAGTGCTCCTTATCTTGTGGCAGGTCCACGGACCTGCCACCTAGTCCATTTCATTCATAGATCTGAATCTACAAGCACACACATGGAAACTATCAACCTCCTCGCCATTGTCGCCTCTATGTTATCCTACTCCTAACGCCGCCGTACGTGACGAAATCGCCACTTATGCCTTTTAAGAGTGAAACCATCTTCGTCAGATGTTGCTGCGGTGGTGCGCTCAGAGTGTGCATGGCGAGGTTGTTTACTGCTGCTGGTGCAGAATGATGAAATTGCGGGATAAAGCGTTTGACAGCTTCTGCTAGTGCGATTCATGTCCCAATGGCCCCTACCACCTGCTGCCGTTGCGCGATCGCCGCGGCTGCACAATCGATAAGGTCGTCGCGCAATCTGCGGCTGCTGTTACCACGCAATCTGCGGTCCTTGCTGTGAAATTTGGTGCTGGTGTTCGTGGTCGATGCGTTTGCTGCGATATCTGCTGTTGCGGCTCGCGATTTGCTGCAGGTGCTTCCGATTTGCTGCTGTTGCTACGAGATCTGCTGATGCGGCGAGATTTGCTGCTGCGATTTGCTGGTGGCGCCGCGAGATCTACTGCTGGTGTTCGGATCTATTGCCGCTCCTCACGATTTTGCTGCTGCTGCTCGCGATTTGCTGCTGCTGCTCGCGATTTGCTGCCGCAGCTCGCGATTTGCTGCTGCTGCTCGCGATTTGCTTATGCAGCTCGCGATTTGCTGCTGCAGCTCGCGATTTGCTGACGCAGCTCGCGATTTGCTGCTGCAGCTCGCGATTTGCTGATGCAGCTCGCGATTTGCTGCTGCTGCGAGATCTGCTGCCGACGATGCGCGAGCTGCTGCGGGAACTGCTGCTGACACTGCGGGAGCTGCCGCTGAATCCGCGCGCGCTGCTGCTGACGGTGCACGAGCTGCTGCTGATGCTGCGCGATTTGCTGCTGATGCTGCGCAATCTGCTGCTGATGCTGCGCGATCTGCTGCTGGTGCCTCACGATCTGTTGTTGGCGGCGTGTGGTGCGCGATCTACTGCAGGTGCTAAGGAGGTCGCCACTGGTGGCGCTGCTCTGGATGGTGTACTGCACTCTGAGGATGGCTTCTGCGACTGCTGGTGCTCGTGTTGGTGCTGCCGTTGCAGCTGCTGGTAGTGCTGGAAAGCACTCGTTGCTATAGGAGTGCTCACTCCAATCTCAGTGCTGGCCTTTAAGGTCATGGCCTTATAAAGATTATGGCATTTTTAATTATGGCCTTATAAGATTACGCCTTTGCAAGAGAACACGGCAAAAACCTCGTTGCTGTGAAAAATTAGTTTACGAAGGGCCAGGCGTATGATAAAATTCCCAAATGATGCGTATTAAAAAATAAAGAGTAAAGTAATTTGGCATTTGCCAGGGCTAATTTCTATTTTATGCTCCTTACCCTTTCGAGCGAAATAAATCATTTCTTAAATCCCAGGCTCTTAAATAAAACCCAAAACAAGTGGACTAAGTGTCAGAATCCCAGCCACTAACCACTGGGATAAAAGGGCTTATTTGTGTAGCGGGTGAGTGCGCCCAGGCCGCCATGCCTGTAACCCTTCCCTAGGATCAATCGGGGATCACCAGTGGACCTCTAACACTAAGAAGCTCTTCCACCCAATGGGTCGCATCGCGAATGTTTATTACGTATGCATTACTGTTGATACCGAGATATCGGTCAGTTTCGCTTACACCATCATGCTACCGGTAATATACCAACCCAAAAAAAAAAAAAAAAAAAAGGAAGGGGGGACACATGCAATACTCGCCTTTGAATTTCTTACTGGCATAAATATGCCCTCTATCGATTACGATATCGTATATCACTCATTCCGTTTTCCACGCTGAAATTGCGGAAACAACACGTTGAGATTAAACGTTTGGCTTGGATTGGACATTTGGTTATCTGTCATTCTGAATGATACGAGCTTGGTGGCTGGGATCAACCGCTTCAGATGATGAAGTCTTAGCTCGCGGTATTGTTTCAAAGTTACACGTTTGTTTGGACGTAACTGCCAATATCAATTACGATAGTTACCAGCACTCCCATGCGGCGAAGATTTGATGTAACGTCTCTATATGCGGGTTGGCGTTATCAACATTGGCGTTTGCCATGTTCTTTTTGTCATTGCCATTATTGCGACTCATTTGACGTTCTTCTTTGAGATTGTCATGTTTGGCATAAGAATTATAGCAAGGGCGGCCTGTTGGGCAATCCCCATCCATCATAACAGACTTTGCATTGGCCTTACAAGTATGGTACATCCGTTACAAAGGTTCCTTCCTTACTCCGTGGCTATATGGCAGAATGCATGGATACATGCTCAAGGGTTTATCCGACGACACCGCGTCTTGGCAACATCCAGTCAAGGAAATTAGAGCGTGGCTCTTTTATATACTCACACAACCAGTATGTTATTGGTCATAATTGTATATGAAAAACCATCCCCACGCAAACACTATGCAGGGTGTAAGAGTTTGCCCTGCTGTGGGTCGTGATGAGCATCTTGTCATCGCATTTACGCTTGTATCGATACGGAATGTGTCACAACCACAATACTGATCTAGCTTGCCATCTTACAAAGTACTTTGCACGTGCGTCCTTGTACTCATGGACCATTTCAGGTTCATCTTACGACCATATATTCATTCTTCGTTGGTTGTTTGAACAACAAAAGTACGTGCGTGTGCCTCTTTGGTATGATGCTGCGAAAAGCATTATCAGGAACAAAGTGTCTGTCCAAACATGGCTCATGCTTGTGTCATGAGCACCTCCGCTACGAATACTTGCATTGTTAGAGCTAAATCCGCAGTGTCGTATATCTGCAATGATCGTGGCCTTATGTCTCAGAATAACTAGGCAAGAATGAATGAACTAGCAGAAGTTTGGGTACAAATATGAAACCCTAGTTGGGGTTGTACCCCATATTGGCTACCCCACTATAGCCTACCAACATATAACACATTACAATTTAACACACCCCCATAGGCAAAGTGGGGGAGAACAAAGGGTCACAAGACCAGTCCAGCAAAGCAACGCAAGCCCAGGGTGGATCACAACGTCACCACACTCCGAGCACAAGCAAAGGCCACAAGGCCAGTTCACATGCAGTGCTAGATATAGTACAAGACAAGCAACACAGTGATCAAAACCTAGCAAGCAAGCACCAAGATATATATAAAGTACAGTACAAAGAAAGTCAAGCAGTAAGCAAATGAGGGAATGTGGACACAAGGCCTAAAGAAGTACAGTGCCGCTGATGATCACTAGGCGGGAGCGCCTTGGTGAAGATATCAGCAGTGTTGGCCTTCGAGTCCACGTACACAAGCCGAAGCTGACCGCGCTGCTGAAGCTCTCGAGCAAGAAAGTAGCGAAGAGCAATGTGCTTCGTCCTGTGCTCCAGTCTGTGCTCCTGACACAAGGCAAGAGCCGCCTTGTTGTCACCGTACAGAACTGGAGGAGAACTAGGCCGCTCTCCCAAG